CTTTAGAAAAAAATTTAATAAAGTAAAGAAAATTTTCCCTTATTGGTGATTAAATATTGCTCCTGCAAAAATACAAAGAGGATATTTTTATTAATTATTTAGTGTATAAGATAGCTTTACAGAAAATTAAACCACAGAAAGTACAAATCAGGAGAGATTAATTATAAATTTTTAATGATTTTTTTTAAAAAAATGTTCTGACAAATTAACTAACTGTGGCCTTCAATTATTTTGGCAAATCAAGAAATAAGTAATTTATTTCAAATCTATTAAGGCTAAAAGAACTTAAATAGTTCAAAGAAATTACAAGCAGAGGCTGAGAGAGAATTCACTATTCTAGAAAAAAATTATAAGACACATATGTGGAATTGCATGGATCCAGAGCTGATTCTAATCTATCATTCTTTTTTTATTCATTCTCCTATTGGGATTCTTATGCAGACAAGATGCTTTAGAAGGAATGTTTTTAATCACACAGAGTATAAAGTTTCTCTAAGGAAAATGGAGACATTGTCAATTAGCATGAATACACCCAGCAGAAATTGTGGTAACTTTTACTAATGCAGAAATTGCCACATTACAGACAGAAGACAAACACTGGCAAAAAGCTTCTTGTAATTTTTGGAGAGACTAAAAATAAATATTCCCCAAATGAAGAGACTTTAGTTTATAACATAAACTAAGTGGATTTTCCCCTCACATATTAAAGGGAACATCAATTTCTTTACAGCTGCAAATTCATCTATAAAAGACAGACTATAAGTTTGGAAAATTAAGTAAAGTGGCTCAAAGACCTTATGATTCAACTTTTAAAAATCAGGATTATATGCTATTCTTCTGGCATTATTAGATTTTTCAGAACCTTTTTAATATCATTACTGATTCTAAGAATGTAGAAAGAAGTGCTTTAAATATTGAAACTTCTGAATTTATACCACATGATTCAGAATTAACTTATCAGTTACTTATCAGTTACAGTAAGTAGTCAGAAATAGAAACTGTCTATTTTATATTACAAACATATCACTTCTCTATCTACCAGTGAGGTAGAGCCAAGGGCATGTTAATTTTTTCTGTCCATCTAGGCAGCTATGAATTAACAACTTTGGACATGTAGTAATTCTGTGTCCTTGAATATTTGGGAATGTCTTAGAGGGATGCTTTTGCCTGGTTTAAACACTGACCAAGTGCCTGTCAATAAAGGTAATTGCAGGAAGGCAGATCGCTGCAATTACAATGCAGAAGGAAACAAGGACCTGATGGTGGGAAATAGGCTTCACATGTAGTTGAGGAATGTAATCAGTAAACTAGGACCTGTTAATGAAGAATGGGTATTTGTACATAGCTCAGGAGTGTAATCAGTAAAACTCTAAATGCATGAGAGAAATTTGTTCCCAGTAAATGATCAGATGATACTGAACTGTGGGAAGTAAATCCCAAGTTTGTTACATAAAGAAATAAGCTACAAGAAGAATCTACAGCAAGACATAGCCAATTCATTCATGACATTATAACATCAGGTACAACCTTTGCAACTGGTTTCATCCTTCAGAAGAATCCGTAAGCCCTATAAATTATTCATGATGCAAAGGCTGTATAGTTACTGTGTGATCTCACAGCTTGTAGCACAAATATCAGCCTCATACTTGTCTGCCAAGCCCTCTAACACAAGACAATGATGAAACTATTCAGATATTGGCATGAAATGTGATAGGAGCCTCAGAATTTCGTAAGAAATACTATGTTAATAAAAATGTTAATAAAAAATAATTTAAGAAAGATTTTTCCATCACTTGGCAAAATGCCAAGGAAATTATGAGGACATGTCTTACTTGTTCTTTGTATAGTCAAACTCCACTCAGTGCAGGAAATAACACAAAAGTGCTTGAAGAAATGAAATTAGTTCAATGAATATATTTCAATTGGCAGAGTTTGGAAAATTAAAATATATGGACCATCTAAGAGATAATTATTCAGTATTTCATTTGACATTTTTCCCGTTCTGAACTTTGCCAAGACAAGGTAGGAGTCCTTTAAAAATTCCTCTTTAAGAGAAAAGTCTGTCAGATATTGATGTGATAACTCTTGAACACACAAACCCAATTCAAAATTGGCTAAGTACATCAGTGAACATTTAACCAAATATGGTACATTAGTGTCAAGTAATCAGACAATGCTCAGCACTGATGACAGTGAGAACCACAGCAATTAAATACATGTTATCAAAAGTGGGAAATAAATAACAGGCTTTGTCCAAAGTGTGGAAAATTACCTAATTATCAATTATTTAAATATAAGATACTGTAGCTTATATTTAACATTATGGCATTGTGGTGCTGTCTCTTAAAACATAAAAAAGAAATATTAGTATTGTTTCCTCAAGTAATGTTGACATTTTTTACATATGGCTACACATAAAAAAAATTGACTTGTGGTAGCCAAATTATCTCCTGCATGTTCATGCAAGAATTTTTTAATAGGTATCAAAAGTTTGAAGCATTCTGAAAGCCCATCATTTTGTCTACAGATAAGTAGAGTGCTGTGTATTCTCACTATGGAATTCTGTGTTACCTTGGAAAAGAAATTCTTATACATGCTTCAATATGGATGAATGTTAAAGACATTAAGCTGAGAGAAATTACCAAAATAAATAAGATAAAACATTGGAAGATAGTGACTTCATGATGAGCTTAGAATGGTCAATAAACAAAAGGTCTAAGACTGATCATCAGTGACATAGAGGAAGAAGACACTGAGGGTTAGACTTGGTAGACAGTTTCAGTGTAGCATGATAACTTTTGAAGTAGATGTTACCACTAGTTGTACAATGTAAATATATGCTGACATTTAACAATACACTTTGAAATGGATACAGGAGTAGGTCTCATACTATGCACAATAATTTATCAAAGTTTACCTGAGAAGAAAAGCATGATCCCATGTTTAGACTATCTAACATGTGCTACTTATTTACATGCCAGTGTTTAGGGAATCTTGTATTTAATAAGAGAATTTTGTCATTGGTTTAGAAATCAGTAATTATAAGCATTCCAATATTTTAGTCCTTTTTTAGATGATTTTGACTATCATGAATGTTTTGTATTTATGCTACGCACACACACACACACACACACACACACATACATATATATATATTCTGCCTTAGTGGTGGTTTGGAGCATTTGAGAGAATATGATATCTGATCAATATGGAATTCTAATTCATGTTGGTCACTGTTATTTTTCTTCTGTTTCCTATTTCAGTAATTAATAGTTTTTATGGTCTGAAGCTTTCTGGATAGAAATTATGAACATGTCAAATTCATCTTTATATGCATTTTAGTTTGGTAATTTGTAAATTACATTTTTGCTTCATTTTCTAATTGCTTGTTGCTAGCTATGTAAATATATTTATCTTGAGATACTGTTCTTTTCCCCCAAAGTGTTACAAATTTCCGAGTTGTCCATCTATTGTAGACTTCCTAGAGTTTTCTCTGTAACAAATAATAATGTACAAATGCACCAGTTCTGCCTGCTCCTTTACAAATAGCATATTCTCTACCCACATTCTCAATCTGTCCCAGATGGAACACTCAGAAAAGACTTGACAAAAACTGAGATTCATGCTGATTCTCAATGTATCTCATTGATCAATAATCAGAAATATTGTTCCTTTTTTGCTGGAAATGTTTGTTATACATGGTTGATTAATTTTTTTCAAATATTTCCTTTTACCTTTATTGACATTATTATGAGTAACTTCTCCTTAAATCCGAAATCTTTTCTGCATCTGTATTTAATTTATATTGTAATTTCATGCAAAAGCTTCTGGAGCTGTGTGTTTTAGCTGTTTTGAATGGAAATCTTCGTGTGTGTGTGTGTGTGTGTGTGTGTGTGTGTGTGTACATGTGACATATATATATATATATATATATATATATATTCATATACAATCTTATGTTACATAGCAATCCCAGTTCCCTCTCCCTCTAGAACTCCTGTGCCCCCCACCAACTCCCCACCCCACCCCCAATCCACTCTCTAGGGAGGGTGAGGCACCCCATGGAGGATCATCAAAGTCTGTCACATTATTTGGGGCAGGGCCTAGGCCCTCTGCCTCGTGTCTAGGCTGAGAGAGTATCCCTTCATAGAAGAAAGGGCTCTCAGTCCATTTGTGCACTAGGGATAAATACTGGTTCCACTGCCAGAGGCCCCATAGACTTCCCAGGCCTCCTTACTGGCATTCATGTTCAGGGAGCCTGGTTCGGTCCTATGCTGGATGTTGTGATGGTGTCTTCAGTAATTGAACACAATGAATCAAAAACTATAGAACTTGTATTGATTTATGATTAATATTTTTTAAAATTAAAAGAAATGTGAGCTATCTTCCATAGTGTGCTGTACTACTAAAAGGTATACAAATACAAATTATTTTTATAAAACAATTAGTTTTGGGTTTTTTTTCCTGAAGTTGGATTCAACAAAACATCACACATCTGTTAGAACAGTGAATGTCCAGTCCTTGTTTAATACTATCCTGAATGTCTATAGACTCAATCAGATACAGTCTAAGGAGAAAATGATCCACATTGAATTCAGAAAGTTCTACCTTGAGTCTCTCTCTGAAATAATCTGGGAGATTATTTCTACCATCACAACACAATAACACCAGAAAGTGGTATTATCATAATAAGACCAGGGCAGAGGGGCTTACATTACATAACTAAAAACCAGCTCTGTACTCGATCATAATCAGAAAATACAGATAGCATTGTCTACCATATGAGAGCAAGGACTGAGTAGACAAAGTCTATAGTGTTTTGTGGCATAATCACTGTCCTCAAACAGGGGCATAGCTTATTGAGCAGTGTGAATACAAATTACCTACAGGATCATTGACTTGTTCCAAAGTAAGAGAAAATCTGTTCAATAATTTTCCTGAAGAAGCATTTTTATCATCAAAAAGCACAAGCAGAAAACATCAGTGGAAGAGATACTTACGCCGGAATAGAAAGGCTCACCAGAAACACACAGCACGTCTTGCTCCTGTAGCATCAGAAGATCTCTTGCAAGATGCAGCCGGACTTTAAAAGGTTCCTGATTGTCATCTTGTAGCAAGCAAACTCCTGTCTTTGTCTTTTGATAAAAAGAGCAAGAAAGAAAAATCATTCAACTCATGTGTTACAATTTCAAGAACTATTCACCGCAGACTGAGCTGTGTGATGCTTGAGAGCTAAGGGCAGGGCTTTCAGTGACTCATACATGATTTTACAGACACACTGAAGAGTGAATCATCCCATTAGGAGTGAAGAAGGTAAGGGAATGACTGTCATGCCAGAGAGACTTGACTGAGGCACAGGGGGAAAGAGAGCATCAAAGGTGCTGCACTTCACTGAGAAATGATGAAAATATTAATACTTAAAATGTGAAAGTAAGGGGTACATTGAGATCCATTTTATATTGCATGGAATTCAACATTTCAATGCTTGTAAGTCATACTTTGGGTACATATGTTCAGGACAATGGACCAAGTGTATAATCATTTCAAGTAACTCTGCTTACTCCAAAAGAAAGATAGGAAAGAACAACCATGCAAATCCATGGGTATCCATGACCCATCCTTCGCTCAGTGAACATTTAGCCACTTTCTGTCTCTGGCATAAAATTTGAAACTGAAAATACATGCTTAGGGGTTCTTAGATTTCCACTATATTATCACCTCTAGTTGTCAGCACTATGCGTCTTTGCATTTGTATACACACACACACACACACACAAACACACACACACACACACACACACACACACACCTTTGTACCTATAATAAGATGAAACTACATAAAATAACAAATATATTTAAAAAACAGATTTTTTATTATAAACTAGAGAATTTTTATTGCAAGCTCTTGCTTTTACTTAACACATTTTAAGGAATTGTGCAAACAGATTAAAGACCTCTAAATTTTTTTCTCATCTTACTGTGAATCCAAAAGTCAACATAACCAATGACTACTTCAAAAGATGTTCCTTTTCTTTAATAACTACTGAGTCATATTTGGATTACTGGATTAATACATGTGCATGTGTATTCATCTTATTTAAGCAAAGGGTGTAGTTAAATAAATAATGCCAAGCTTGATTTTAGTCTGATTTCCTAGAATGCCCTATAATGTTTATGCAAATACACTTAACATTTAATATTGGTGCTTCTGGTATTATTTTTTTTGTGTGGAGGGCATTGTAATCAGATTGATGTGTTTATTTTTCACAAAGAATTAAATCTCAGTCAGATATTTGGTATTCAGGATACAGAATGATTGCAAATTTTTTTGAGTTTGTTGGTGTTTTATAACAGTCATGAAAACACCATAGGAACAAATGTCTGAAGAACATTTATAGACATTTCAAAAACTGCTGCAAATTTTGTCCTTTTCCTAAGCTGAAATGCACTCAATAATTTCTAAAACTGAAGTCAACAACTCAGATACCAAATTTTAAAATCAACCATCCTGATACACAAAATTCAAAGGTGTATTTATTTATATTAATAAACTGGGGAATAGTAATATAACATATTAAATCACCCTGTTTCTTTAAACCTTTATGTTTCTATAGAAGCAGATAACTTTGTATGTATAATAAAAACATTATAGCTCATAATATGCAGCAGCCTAGAATGTGAGCCAAGATTTCCGGTCAGTGTCCTTTGGCTTCCTGTTACAGGCAGTATATATAGTTCAAGATGTTCCTTTTATATATTAGAGCAAAGTCTTCATTGATGTCTCACAGAGCAACACAGGAGCCGGTTGCCAAAACGTTCTCAGATTACATATGTATGTGATATAGAATTGATTTTGTTTCCAAGGGTTCACAAACATCTTTGTTTTCCTTTGAATGGTGATCAGTATTTTAGATAATTAAAACTGACTATTATTGAAAATAATTTTTGTCATAGAGTATATTCTGATTATAGTTTTCCCTACCACACCACATCCAAACACTTCCCACCTCCCAAGCTGTCCAACTCCACACATCCATACATTTTTCCTATCTTTACAAGGAGAAAACAGAAAATAAAATTAAAAAAGAAATATACACACAAAGAAATAGACATACATACATACAAACACGCACACAAAACACATAAAAATACAGAATCAGAAACCATAATAAACCAAGTATCAATAAAAATGTTAAAGCCCAAACAAAGAAGTATGTTATTTAAAAAGGAGAAAGAAAACCAGTATATCTACAAAAGTGACATTGAATTTGTATTGTGCAACAATTATTGTTGGGTATAAAGGCAACACCAAAGGGTGTTTGTATTCCCAATGAGACTTCATTAGAGAAAGTGAAATTTTCTTTTCTAAACAGTTATAAATTGGAGACATCTTCTTATTAATTGGAGATCATGTCCATGTCTGCTCTAGGACACCATTAGAAAATTCTGTGTAGGACCTGTACAAACTGACAAATTTTTTGTGAAGTCATATGTTCATTAGTTCCCTTTGTCTGGAAGTCACTCTTCTCTTGAAGTTATCTTTCTGCTCTTACTCTTATAATCTTTCCACATCACTCCCTGACCTAATGAAGAGAAACTTGATGAAGAAATCCAATCAGAATTCAGTGTTTTAAACTCTTACTCTCTGTACATTGTCTAGTTGTGGGTCTAGAGAAACTTCCTCTGGCAATGGCTGAATGAGTCATTGATATACATGTATAGTAGAATATCATTTAAGAGTCATTTTTATTGCTATGCTCCTTCTGCAGAAGAGCAAATTTTGGTTTTGCCTAGGACCATGAGCCATCTAGCTCAGGTTCTTGACAACCCAAGCAGTGTTAGGCATGAATTTTCTCATGTAGAGTGGTCTTTAAACCCAATTGGAGAATGGCTAGTTATACCCATGGCATTTGTAGCATTTTTTCTTGCAGGCAGGTCAACATTGTATTCGTGAAAGGTTTGTAGGTGGGTTGCTGGTTAGTTTTCTCCTCTGGTAGTGTGCATATATATTACCTTCTAGTTCAACGAATACTCATCAGTAGGATGAAGACTCTAGTTAAGTACCAGCTCAGCTTCATTTTTCTGTGTCCAATAAGATATATAAGTATTCTATTTAGCAAAAGGACTTTAACCTCAGTTAGTGAAGAACAACTAATAGGTTTGGCAATAGCCCAAGTTGTTAGGTTTTTTTCATGGGACCATTTGGCTAAAAACTTAATTATTTGTAGGCCAATCCTGACACTGTGTGTTTAACTTGGAGGTGAAAGATACCCAGTCAGGGCATTGTCTTTGCCATTATTTTGTGATTCCATGAGAACCTTAAATTTAAGAAGCTCATAGGTTCCAGGTGACTATACAAATATCCAAATATCACTTAGAGTTACTCTATATTTATACCTGATGTATATATATATATATATATATATATATATATATATATATATAGTGTGTGTGTATGTGTGAGTGTGTATGTGTGTGCTCCTGCACACGTGTGCCCATATGTGGCATACATAAATCAATCTCTCTCTCTCTCTCTCTCTCTCTCTCTCTCTCTCTCTCCCTTCCTCCCTCTCTTCACTTTTCCTTTCCTTCCTTTTTTGATGATGAGTGAAAGGTGCATGTATTTGTGAGTATGTGAAGTATTTAGATTAGAATATAGTTAAAAACTACATCAGTTTAAGAAAATTGTTTCAACGGACTCTTAGCACCCATAAACACTCCAGCCATGAGTAACTGACTATGTATAAGGCATGGATTTTCTTCTATTAAGCAAACTTTTCAACCAATTAGGCAGATGATGATTATCTACAAAGTAAGCAGTCTATTAAACCTTTAGTGATAGCTTGCTAAGTTAATCATTGTTCTGGTCACAATTTTAAAGCTGCATAAGACTAATTATTGCTCCACTCCAAGGTTAAGCTACTATGCTAATCAATGTGGAAATGCTTTAAAAAGATAAAACTAGATCTACCATATTATCTAGCAATACAAGTGTGGATATATACTAAAGTTAATATTGTGTCTCAGAGATAATTCCATGGCTATGTCTATTCCCTTTTTATTCATAGTAGAGAAAAAATGGAAACAACCAAAATGCTTTCCAACTGATGAATTCTAATGAACATGCACTTTGCATGCAATGTAAAATACTACTCAAATGTAAAGAAAAATAAAATAATGAATTTTACAGCTAAATTGATGGAACTAATAGTATTATACTGAATGAAGTAACATATAACCCCAAAGAAAATTGGCAGATGCTGTATTTAATTTATGGATCACAGCTCTGAATATTCATATTGAGTATATAATCTGAAATGACCTAAGAAGCTGGGAAAGTAAAAAGAGACCATGGGGATATGGTTCTCTAGAGAGAGGGAGAGGCTTTGTTATCCTTCAGGAGGAGTGGGTACGGGGTGGATTGGGGGCAAGTAGAGGAGAGTAAAGGGAGGGGTGGGAATGGGAACTATGGTTGCTGGGTAAAATTGAATAGCTATCAAAGAGAAAAATGGGACATTATGAAAAGCTTCTGTAAAGGACACTATTGTGACAAAGCTCTACCCTACAGACTGAGAAAAGAATTTTTACCACCTGTTCATTTGATACAGTATTAGTACCCAAGCTATACAAAGAACACATGAATCTAGATATTAACACATTAATAATGCAGTTTATAACTAGGGTACAGATCGAAATAGATACTTTTCTATAGGAGAAATCAAATGCCTGTGAAACATTTAAATGTTCAACACCCTTTACTCATTGTATGAAGGTAAATAAAAATTTCAGTGATATTCTGTGTTATACCTGCCAAAATATCTACAACAATAACACAATTGAAACTTCACACTGGTGAGGATGTGGAATAAGAGAACACTTATCTATTGCAGGTGGAAGTTCAAAGTTGTACAGACATATGGAAACAACATGGTGCTTTGTCAGAAAATTTTGGATTATTCTGCCTCAAGATCTAGCTATACAACTCTTACGCATATACCCAAATGATTCTTCATTCTACCTCAGAGATATTCCATAAAATATGTTCATTGCTACTCTATTCTTAATAATCAGAAACTGAAAAAAACCCGTGTATCTCAAAAGATGAGTAGATTTTAAAATGTGGCTCATTTACACAAAATAGTTCAATACCTTCCTTCTGTCTCTTTGTGCAATGCATGTCTTATGGAGAAGAGCAGCCCATTATAGTTCTGTTTCCTGAGACCCAAGGTTTCCCAAATGACTTTGTCTTCCTTCCTTCCTTCCTTCTTTCCTTCCTTCCTTCCTTCCTTTTTTCTTTCTATATTTCTTTCTCTCTTCCTTCCTTCCTTTTTCTCATTTCCTTCCTTCCCCACTCTCTTTATTTCTTTTGTTTTTGTATTTAGTTTTGATTTTTCTGTGTAACTATCGTGAAGCTCAAGATTTAGACCAGGCTGACATGGAACTCACAGAGATCTTCCTGCCTCTGCCACACAAGTGCTGGGATTAAATGTACAAAAAGAATGGTTCACAGCCTCCCAGGTACAACCGTAGCTTTCTACATTTAAGGAATAAAAAGTACATTGGTGGTGATGAGTCCTTTACTCATTCTCTAAGAAAAGTGGTGTTTCATGTTCATAGAGTCTGGCAAGATGTTTTCTGGTTACAAATTATAACAAGCAGAAAATCTTTTGACTTACCTCCTCACAGGTACTTCTGAAATCCATGTGCTGTGGCACTATGAAGTTTGTGGTCTATAAAGACATAAAGAGTGATTCGTTAAATGGAGAATGGATCTCAACACAGAACATAGCACTAGCAACCAAAGTAATGCTGGAGAAAACATTATAGATGGCCAGCTATAAGCAACAACTCATGAGGGAAAAAAAGACATTAAAATGTTCATCTCAACCTATGATAAAACAAAAAGTATGAACAACTTCCAGTCATTTAGTGTGATGAAGAATATCTCAATGCTCTTCACTTGGCTTCTTACAGGATGGGTAGCTGTGGTATTAACATCTTTCCTCAGGTTCTTCCTCAATTGTACCATTTCTTTGCAATCTCAGTTTTTGAGAGGGAGAACTTCAAAAAGAGCAATTAAATATTGCCTTTCATCTGCTTATCTTTGTAATTTTCTTATGGTTTTATTATTTTATTTTACATATTGATCCCAGTTCCCTCTCCCCCCTCCATCCCGCCCTCCCTCTCTCCCTTCCTTCCTCCCTCCCTCAATTTTTCCCTCTCTACCCCCCTCACATGCACCCCAACAACCCTCCCCTCCCATCCTCCCATCACTCCACATGTAGGGTGATGCCATCCAGGAGGGCTCATCTAAATCTGTCAAGTCATTTGAAGTAAGGACTAGGACTTTTCTCCTGTCTCTATGTTAAGCGAGTCCCTCCATGGGGGATGTGCCCACAAGGTCCTTTTGTGCACCAGGAATACTACTGGTTCCACTGTCTGAGGTCCAGTACACTAGTCAGGACTTCTAGCTGAGAACCATGTTCGGGGGGGGGGGTTCTGAGTCAGTCCCATCCTGGATTCCCAGCTATCAGTCTGGGGGCCGTTAGTTCCTTGTTCAGATCAGCTGTCTCTATGTGTTTCTGCAGCCTGGTCTTGTTCTCCCTGTCTGCCTCTGGATTCTAGTTTGGCTCAGTGTTTAGTTGCAGGTATTTGCTTCTGTTTCCAAGAGGTACTAGATGAGGGCTCCATGATGGTAGATAAGTTAGTTGTTTATCTCATTATCAGGGAAGGGCATTTATGGTAGCCTCTCCACAGTTGCTCAAATTGTTAGTTGGCGGCAGTCTTGGAGGTCTCTGGACATTTCTTTAGGTTCAGTTTTCTTTTCAAACCTATAATGGCTCCCTCATATTACCTCTCTCTCTCTCTCTCTCTCTCTCTCTCTCTCTCTCTCTGTCTCTCTGTCTTCTATTCCTCCCCTGACTCAATCTTCCTAGTCCCACTGCTTTCCTCTCCTCCCCTTCCCTTTCTCCTAGTTCTTTCTCCACTCACTGCCCCCCTCACTCCCCATACGGTCTTGAGAACTTGTCCCTTCTGTGAGGGACCTTGTATGAATCTTTTAGAGTCCACCTTGTACCCTAGTTCCTCTGGTGGTGGTGTGAATTATAGGCTGGAGATCTTTGCTCTAGGTCTAAAATCCATGCATGAGCAAGTACATACCATGTACATCTTTTTTTTTTATAACTGGGTTACCTCATTCGGGATGGTTTCTTCAAGTGCCATCCACTTTACTGCGAATTGCAAGATTCCATTTTTTTTTTCTGCAGAGTAGTATTCCATGGTGTAGATGTGCCATATCTTCTTTATCCATTCTTCAGTTGAGGGGCATCTAAGTTGCTTTCAGGTTCTTGCTATTACAAATAATGCTGCTATGAACACGGTTGAGCACATGTCTTTATTGCATGGATGTGGATCACTTGGGTATATGCCTAAGAGGGGGATTGCTGGGTCCTGTGGTATTCTGATACCTATTTTCCTGAGGAACTGCCTCTAAACTAATCTCTAAAATGGCTGTACAAGTTTGCACACCACCAGCAATGGGGGAGTGTTCCCCTTTCTCCACATCCTCTCCAGCATAGACTGTCATTGGAGTTTCTAATTTTAGCCATTCTGGCAGGAGTAAGATTGTGTCCCAGAGTTGTTTTGACTTGAATTTCCCTGACAGCTAAAGATGTTGAGCACTTTCTCAAGTGTCTTTAAGCCTTTTTGATTTCCTCTATTGAGAATTTTCTCTTCAGTTCTGTGCCCTATTTTTAATAGGGTTATTTGGTGTTTTGTTGATTAGTTTCTTGAGTTCTTTGTATAGTTTGGAGTTCAGCCCTTTGTCAGAGGTAGGATTGGTGAATATTTTCCTAGTCGGTGGGCTGCGGTTTGCTGTAGTCAACTGTGTCCTTTGCCTTACAGAATCTTCTAAGTTTGAGGAGGTCCCATTTATTAATTGTCTGTCTCAGTGTCTGTGCTATTGGAGTTATGTTCAGAAAGCAGTCTCCTTATACCAATTTGTTCAAGGGTACCTCCCACTTTCTCTTCTAAGAGGTTCAGTGTGGCTGGATTTATGTTGAGGTCTTTGATCCATTTGGACTTGAGTTTTGTGCATGGGGACAGACATGGGTCTATCTGCAGTCTTCTACACACCATCATCCAATTGTGTCAGCACAATTTGTTGAAGATGCTTTCATCCCCCATTGTATACTTTTAGGTCTTTTGACAAAAATCAGGTGTTTATAGGTGTGTGGGTTAATATCAGAATTTTTTATTTGATTTCATTGGTCTACTTGTCTATTTTTGTGCCAATACCAGGCTTTTTTCAGGACTATAGCTCTGTAGTAGAGGTTAAAGTCAGGGATAGTGATGCCTCCTGAAGTTCTTTTGTTGTACAGGGTTGTTTTGGCTATCCTGGGTCTTTTGTTTTTCTATATAAGTTTGATTATTATCCTTTCAAGGTCAGTGAAGAATTGTGCTGGAATTTTAATGGGGATAGCATTGAATCTTAGATTGCTTTTGGCAAGATTGCCATGTTTACTATGTTCATCCTACCTATCCAAGAGCATGGGAGAACTTTCCATTTTCTGGTATCTTCTTTAATTTTTTCCCTTAAAGACACAAAATTCTTACTACATAGGTCTTTCACTTGTTTGGTGTTACCCCAATATATTTTTTGTTGCTTGTGGCTATTGTAAAGGGTGATGTTTCTCTCATTTCTTTCTCAGCCCATTTGTCGTCTAAATAAAGTAGGGCTACTGATTTTTTTTGCATTTATCTTGTATCCTGCTAGTTTGATGAAGGTGTTTATCAGCTGTAGGAGTTTCCTGGTAGAGGTTCTTAGATCACTTATGTAAAATATCATATCATCTGCAAATAGAGAAAGTTTTACTTCTTCCTTTTCAATTTGGATCCCCTTGATCTCCTTTTGTTGTCTTATAGCTTTAGCTAGATCTTCAAGTACAATATTGAAGAGATATGGAGAGGGCAGCCTTGTCTTGTTCCTGATTTTAAAGGAATCACCTTAAGCTTCTCTCCATTCAGTTTGATGTTGGCTGTTGGTTTACTGTATATTGCACTTATTATATTTAGGTATGTTACTAATAACCTGATCTCTCCAAGACCTTTATCATGAAAGTGTATTTTATGAAAGAATTTTTCATCATCTAGGGAGATGATCAAGTGGTTTTTCTTTTTTAGTTTGTTTATATGTTGGACCACATTGATAGATTTTCGTATATTAAACCATCCCTGCAACACAAGAATGAAGCCTTCTTGGTCATGGTGGATGATTCTTGGATTCAGTTTGCCAATATTCTTCACTGAAGCCATCTGGCCCTGGGCTTTTTTTGGTTGCAAGGCTTTCGATGACTGCTTCTATTTCATTAGGGGTTATAGGTGTATTTAAGTTGTTTGTCTGTTCTTGATTTAATTTTGGTAAGTGATAGTTACCCAGAAATTTGTCCCTTTCTTTTGAATTTTCAAATTTTGTGAAATACAGGTTTTCAAATTATGACCTGAAAATTGTCTGGATTTCATCTGTGTCCGTTGTTATGTTCCCCTTTTCATTTCTGATTTTGTTAATTTACATGTTCTCTCTCTGCTTTTTCGTTAATTTGGATACAGGTTTGTCTACCTTGTCGATTTTCTTGAAAAAGTAACTCTTTGTTGCATTGATTTTTTGTATTGTTTCCCTGGTTTCTATTTTATTGATTTCAGCCCTCAAGTTGATTATTTCCTGGTGTCTTCTCCTCCGGGCTGAGTTTGCTTCTTTTTGTTCTAAGGCTTTCAGTTGCGCTGTTAATTCTCTAATGTGACTATCCTCTGTTTTCTTCATATGGGCACTTAGTACAATGAACTTCCCTCGTAACACTGCTTTCAAGGACCCCATAAGTTCAGGTATGTTGTGTCCTCATTCTCGTTGAATTTTAGGAAGTCCTTAATTTCTTTCTTTATTATTTTTTTTTATCCAGTTATGGTGCAATTGCACATTGTTCAGTTTCCATGAGTTTATAGGGTTTCTGTGATTTGTGTTGTTGAATTCCAATTTTAAAGCATGGTGGTCTGATAGACACAGGGGACTATTCCAATTCTTTTGTATCTGTTGAAGTTTGTTATGTAGCCTAGTATGTGTTCGATTTTAGAGACTGTTCCATGTGGAGCAGAGAAGAAGTTATATTCTTTTGTGTTTGGATGGAATGTTTTATAGAGGTCTGTTAACCCCAATTGAGACATAACTTCTGTTAGTTCTTTTCTTTGTTAAATTTCTGACTGGAGGTCCTGACTAGTGGTAAGTGTGTGAGGTTAATGTGAGCTTTGAGTTTTAGTAGCATTTCTTTATGAATGTGGATGCCTTTGTATTTGGAGCATAGATGTTTAGAATTGAGACTTTGTGCTGATAGATTTCTCCTGTGATGAATAGGAAATGACCATCTTCATCTCTTTTGATTAATTTTTGGTTTCAAGTCTAATGTGTTAGCTATTAGGCTAGCCACACTTGCTTGCTTCTTGGGTCCATTTGATTGGAAGATCTTTTCCCAGCCCTTTACCCTGAGGTAATGCCTATCTTTGTAGCTTAGATGTGTGTCTTGTATTCTGTCTTTATATCCATTCTGTTAGCCTGTGTCTTTTTATAGGTGAGCTTAAACCATTAATGTTGAGGGTGAGTAAGGACCATTGATTGTTAAATCTTGTTTGTTTTAGATTTGTAGCTGGCAGTGGTATTGTGAACGTATTTGTTCTGCTTTAC